ATAAATTATCAATTAAATATGGCCGACTAGAGCAAAATTTTAAAATCTAGCACCAATAGCAAGTTTTATGTGAAAAATTAGTGATTTTCATGTTTAAATTATCAGTAAACAAAAATTCTAATGAAAGTGAAAGATAAAATGAATTTATATCTATTAAATTTTTTTCAACAGTTTCATCTGAATTCATTAAAATTAATTTTGCAAGTTCAGTTTTATTTCTCAATAGAGTGATTAAGCAAAATTAAGCAGCATTGTTATTAGTGATACTTGAATTCATCCAAAAAACAAGTAAAACAGCAAGGTTATTTTTTGGACAAGACTATGACACGGAGACTCACTACTAAGCAGGATCACTTTAATGCTTGCGGCATGTCTCATTCTCCAATCTTCTTTGGTATCACTGGTTTTGAGCGCGATCATTCAAACTTTGCCGCCCACGGGGTCATCCGCAATGCATTTCTGGTGAAATTAACCGATCCAATGTCGAAATTTCTCTCTGTTGCATGCCACCCCAGGTTGAATTTTTGTCGATGCCTAAAAGAAAATTTCCCATTTTTGAAAAAATAATCGTGGCGATTGTATCATCTAAAATTATTTTTTTATTTGCACAAACAAAATAAATATATTAATAAATGTAAAAACAAAAAATTATATTTCAGAAGTTAGTTTTAATATAAAATTATACTAGTTTCAAAAACATTTCGATGCTGAAACGAGATATCTAGGGTCAACCAGTCAAGGTCAGCAGGTTGTAACCAGAGAGGTAAATGGATTTTTTCAAAGCTTTGTTTGTCAAAATTCAATTTCTCAACGTTTGCATTTCCAGCTTCCCAACAAGCAACACATGTGCAAATCTCATACTCTTGCCTGCTTGTAGAAAGTGTGTTGCCATTTTGTATTTTATTTTGACTTGGTTCTCAGTCCCCTGAGTACCTACAAGTCTGGTTTTTTTTTATGCGTGCATGATTTGGACACCAAATACTCTGTGCCAAATTGCAACTCGACATGTACTCCTTCATACCTCTAAGGTGTCCAGCTGTTGACAGCAGGGCAATTCTATACACAAGACAGTCTTGTCAACAAAGAAAATATTTAGTTCAATTTTGCATCTGTTTTATAATAACTATTACATTTTTTAAGTTGTTGATTGATCAAATAGATATTAATTGACATCATGATGATAAAATGTTATATTTATATAAAATTTTTTAAATGTTGATGTCAAATTTAGACCATTACATTATGTGAAAATGGAAAAATTTAGCAGCAAGATAGTCTAGTTGCTATTAATTAATTTTTTATTTGATTCCTTACTAAATAACTTTGAAATGTTTAGTAAACACTGAAATGAAATTGCAAATCTTACAAGATACACAAATATTTCTTTGAACATTCAAATATTTTTAAAATGCACATAATGTGCTGTTATAGAAAAATTAGTATTGTATAAATATTTAGATTATTATAATTATATTAAATATAAACATTATTAAGCATTTATATATCTGATTTATATTAATGTTTTGTTTCGGTCATCAGAATGTGACTTGATCTACAAGAATATTTGTTTTCTATTCTTTGCTTACACTGATTTTTTTAAATTTTAATCAGAACTTAATTTTATTATTAATTTATGCTTTCTAATTCTTTGAGTGTCAGATCTAACATCAGCAAAATTTGAAAATAATGTAATTTAATTTAGTGTACTTAAAATATGAATAAAGAATATAGTAAATTTAATACAAATTGCAAAAATAATTAATAGTTTTAAATAAGCCAAACAAACATTGAATATTTTAAAATTTAGTTGAAGAAAACACAATTTTGTAAAAAAAACTTTTTTTTCAAGCAGTTAATATACTTAATATTGAACTGACAAAATATTTATAATATATCAATAATTTTAAAATTTTCATATACAAATTAATTAATGTTTAATTGAAAAATTTACAATATTTAATTTTGAAAGCTTCAAAAATTCTTATTTGAGTAGTTTGAAGCAAAATATTTATAAATGTTTGTAATTTGTTGGCTGAGACAAAACATCTTATATCTTCAGAAAATGAAATTTTGATCTTGGTAATTTAAATATTACTTCATTAGTGTTTAGTGCTTTTGTGGGTGCTACTCATAAAAAGAATAAAAAATGATGATTTCATTTTTTGTGTGGGGCTTCTTGTTATTGCAACATTTCCAATTTTTTGAAATAAATAATCCTGTTTGTTGGCAGAATTTGAGAAATATTTTCAGAATTATTTAATCTTTCTTATGCGTGTGAAAAGATAAATTATTTTAAATCTATAAAGTATTATTTAATTGAATTATTAATCATATGAAGTATTATATTTCTTCACTTTTTGAAATCTAGTATATAATAATTATTATTTTATTTTTAAATATTATTTAAAAATAAAAAAATCTCAATACTTTTAAATTTCAGTTCAATTAGAGAATGTTTGAAATTAGATCCTGATCATAAAGAATGTTTTAGTCATTATAAAAAAGTAAAAAAATTAGCTAATCAATTACGTTCCTTACAAGACTTTTCTACTGAAGGAAAATATGATGAATGTGTAGAAAAGGGAAATGCCGCTTTAAAGACTGAATCAGAAGTTCCACGTTTAGTCCATTTTATTAAATCCAAACTGTGTTATTGTCATAATAAAGTAAGTATGTTTTTGTTATTAAATGTCTAAACATCTTAATTAATAATTTTATTTGCACTGATTTTTTTTATTTTTATAGGCAGGACAAGTTAATAAAGCTATTGATATATGTACAGAAGCACTTAAATTATTCAGTGAAGATGTAAATGTTCTTTGTGATCGTGCTGAGGCTTATACTGCTTCAGAATTATTTGATGATGGTAAGATTTTTTTGTTTGTGTAATCAAAATAAATTTTCTAACTTTTAAAAACAAGCTTACTAAATAAACATACTGATTTTTTTAAACATTTCATCATGTAAAATAATTAAGCTCTGGATATATTTTAAATAAAATGACTAATGACGAACATTTTACTAAATATAAGTAAAAAGGTTAATTATTATAATATATACACTAATATTGTGTCTATGTATAAATATAATAATAAATTTGAAAATCAATAAAAATAAGTTTTACATTACTAAGTTTTTACATTTAATAAAATTAATTATCTAGGAAGTAGGTACAATGAAATCACGATAAAAACTTTGAATTCTTTAATTTTATCAGATAGTTTATAATTTAACAAATAAAAACTTTCCTAAAATAGTTTAAAGTGATAAACTAGTTTTTGAGCATATTTAGTAATAGACTATATCATTCTACTATATTTGGAAATATTCTAAAAATTAGACTTTCCTCAATATGATGATTCTGGAAATTGCATTATATAAATATTTCATGAAAATATTTCTTTGGCTTTATAAAATGTATTTTTTTATATAGTGGAATCATACAAAACTACTATGTAAAATATAACAGAATAAACACCTCAAAAAGCTTTTTTTTAGCAACAAGAAAATAAATCTTTGTTTAAGTAATGTGAATGTTTTCAGTCATTTTAAATGACTGCTGTCAGGCAACCAAAAATTGAATACAATAAAATATGTATTTACTAATGTACAGTTTTCTTTCCTTTTAATAGCTCTTCATGATTATCAGAAAGCCGCGAATATAGATGAAAATTCTCGTAGAGCACATGATGGCTTAAAGAAAATCCAGAAATTAATAAAACAATCAAAGAAAAGAGATTATTATAAAATACTGGGAGTCAAAAGGTAAATATTATTCAGATTATTTAATATGAGTGGTTTACTTGAAATTTCCATTTTTATGTAATTAAAACATCTAATTAATGGTTCTCTTTTAAATTTTCATGACTAATTTATTTTATAACAGGACGGCTGGTAAAAGAGAAATACTGAAAGCATATCGTAAACTTGCTCAGAAATGGCATCCCGACAACTTTCAGGAGGGAGATGAAAAGAAAATTGCCGAGAAAAAGTTTATTGATATTGCATCTGCAAAGGAGGTCCTCACTGATCCAGGTAAATTACATAATCATAAAAATGATGCCTTTATTTATCTAAAGCAAATAATTCTTATAAATAAATATTTGAATTTTTAATTTAAAAATCATAATTGTAAATGTAAAATTATTAATGATGATTTTTGATATCATTGAAAAGTTATGCATGCTTAGAATAAACTTTGAATTTTTGATCAGATAGATGATCAAAGATTTATTGGTCTACTTTTTAACGTTACTTCAAATCAGTATGTTTATATTTTGAATTTAGAAAAGAGGCAAAAATTTGATAATGGAGAAGATCCACTTGATCCTGAATCTCAGCAAGGACAAGGTTTTAATCCATTTCAAGGATTTAACCCATTTGGACATGGAGGAGGACCTTTTACTTTTAAATTTCACTTCAGTTGAGTGTTTAGTGCTTAAATGTACACAAAACAGAGACATTTTTTTAAAAAGAACAATTTCATAAAATTATGATAATTGAACTTTGCCACATCCCAAAGAAGTGCCTACAATTGGACTTGATACAGGTTAAAGGAGATTAGTTTTTTATTTAACAAACTTTCACTTACTCAATGGAAAATGAGAGCTTTCCATTCTATTATTATCTGTTTTTAACTGATAATTGAATTATTAATAAATAAAATTATATTTATTGAAATAATTTAATTCTAAATTGATGTAAGTTTGTTAAATAAATTATGTCTCCATGAAAAATTCCGAAATTCCTAGTCGTGAGATTCAAAGTGAAATCAAGCAACATCATGAAAGGAAAAATTGTTTTATTGACTAGGATCATTAATATGCAATCAATTTCTGGTTACCTCAGCTTCTTCCAAATGTCATTTTGTTGATGTTCACTCATATTTAAGAATTTAGTTTGTGCCATTTGTTTAAAACAAAGGAAAATACTTTTTGAAAGAAACTTGAAACTTAATCATGTTTTAGAATATAATTGAAATGATTATCCAGATAGCAATTTGTCACATTTAAAAAAACACATAGTATTTTCTGTAAATAAATGTGTATTGTTCTGTGCACATTCATCCATATGTATAAAGAACTTTCATTAAAAACTCTTCAAAGAATGCAAATGAGTCATTATAAATTTATTTAATTCAAAGTATTTAATATTGAATCTATGCCAAAATTTAATTTTGAGTTTAAAACTAGTCTACAAATATGATTTTAAGAAATACAGTTTTACTTTGAAAATTAAACAAAGTTAAACTTTTGGTTTTTCATCAATTGCTGTCATAGCAGATATCTCTGATTTGACATCACTACTGTCTGTTACAGTGGCACAAGAAAGTGATGGAAATTTCTGATAAAGAGCTGCCCTGTATTTAGGATGACTGATTCCATATACGATTGGATTGTAACAAGCATTAGCTTTAGCAAACACAGATCCCCAAATAGTTGCTAGAGGTGTCAGATGCACTCTATTGCTGAAGATTCCAGACCAAGCAATAGATAGATAAGGTGTCCATGCCATGAACCATAATCCAACAGTCATCATTGCAATCTGAAGAAATGAATTATTTAAATTTTGTATTTTAACTGGTTATTTAAAATTTTTAATTTTCTTACCTTAGCCAGTCTAATCTCTGCACTCTGTTTTTGTTGATCCACATTGGCACGCAGAGAAGCAACCTTCATTTTTTTTGCCTGTTCTCGCAGTGTTTTCTCATGTTTTGAAACGGCTCTGACAATGAAGAAATAACAGTATATCATAGACACCAGTGGCATAAAGTACACTGCACAACCATAAATAACAACATAAGAAGCAGAATGCCATTTTCTATTTAGATAGTCTAAAGTACAACTTGTCATATTTCCCTCTGGGACATACCTATAAAAAGAAAAGACAATCAATTTCCAGGACTAAAAGCTTTTAATAATAATTTTACTTACCTATTCCATCCAAAGAAAGGTAGCAAGGTCCAAGTAACAGTCCAAGTCCACACAAACATTATCATTAAGACTGCCTTTTTTGTAGTCAGTGGACCAGCAGCCATTCCTCTTACAATAACATTATACCTGTCCAGAGATATCATGACCATGGTCCAGATCGACCCACATCCAAAGAGAGAACCGACCATTCCGTACACTTCGCACATGAAAGGACCAAGAATCCAAGTTTCAGCAAAGCAGTTGGCTGCCATGGTTGGCATCATGAACGCCATCATGCAGAAATCGGAGAAGGCTAAGTTGACTATCAGCAAATTGGTAGGTGTTCGCAACGTCTTGGTACTCACCATCAGATAGATCACCACTCCGTTCCCCGCAATGGAAATAATGCCAAGCACCACCATGGCAATACCCAACAAACTATGCCACAGGGGATTGATGGGCGGAAAATTATACCAGTGTTCATCTATCATGTACAGCATGTTGTCGGGGACCGAATCCACAATGCTGGCATTACGCCGATAGGGATCGCCCAATGCCCCAGAGACAGAGTTGCCAAAGCTCAACATGATAGAGAAATCTGCAAAAAAAAATCCAATGCCCTTATAATCCAAAGAGGTTCTCTTATCCTCACCTTGTAACTAGCAGACAAGAACTTGCTCTGCCAGAAAAAAGACTGTAGAGAGAAAGGAAGAACCTATCTTTGTCTCAGTTTATATACAATCGATTTTGCAGGATGATTTAAGAGATTATTGCACTTGTTTGGCTTCGTGAGATATTAATCGAAAGAGATTAAAACGATCTCTCCAAAATATTAACAATTAATGCAAATCAAAAGCGAAAAAATCAGAAAAAACTGTTAAAATTTGAAAATTATTATTTTATTTTTATCTTTTAATTTTAAATTCATAAATCAACTTAATATGTATATAATATTAATTTATGTAAAATTTTCGATACTAATATCTATAAATAGTTTTGTTATTGACAAATAGGATTTGACATGTAACGATTAAGTGAGACCCTACAAATCATAAAGTACTTTTTTCTTAAGAAGAGCGAATGTCAATCAAAATCGGTCTTAAGATTTCACTTTTCATCTGATATTTACATTTAAATGAAACAAAAAATTTTGAAGATAATTTTTTTCCTGTTGAGTACTGAAGGAATGCAACTCTCAAAAGAACAGCGGAGAGAGATAAATTGCATTGTTTTTATATAAATTAAGCAATTACGAACTTAAAAATTTCAGCTTTTTAACCTGGAATCAATCAATTTTATTAATATAGAAATCAGATTGTCAGGAAACTTGCTAGCTACTGTACTTAAATC